CTCCTCTTACAGGTCACGTCTCTCTCATAAAAGTGCTAAACTAATGCCGCTTAATGACAAATTAATGTCCATGAATAAAAAATACACCTCTAATAGCACAGAGTAATTTGCCATTACAATATCACCATTGGACATGCCCCTGGTTTAATACGATGTATTTAATTCATAACCTAATGAGTGATATATAAAAAGAGGGAGATGAACCCTGCAATTACATTTATGTGAGTCTGTCACCTTATTTGTAAAACCTTAGAGTCATTTACATTCAAATTAGAACAAATGACTGATTTCACAAAGTGCAGTGATAAATGACCACAGAAGCCCAAGACAAAACTGTATTTCCTGTGAACACATTAACAGTTTCCTATTATTTGTTAAAAATTACAATGCATATTGCTTAGTGTGGTGTGAATGATGACTTTTTTACTGATTAGGTCAGAAGACTAATATGCAGCAAAATAAATAATTTTTCTTTTCATTTTTTCTGATTTTTGCTTTAAATTAACTACTCAATTCTGGTGGATTCACACTGCCACCTGCTGCACAGAATAGATAGTAGAAATACATTCCAATCAAAAGGAGTTTATATATTCACTCCTTTGATGGTTTTACTGAAAGTCTATACGATGCTCTGATTTGTTAATACATTTAAGCTGTGTACCATTGTAATACTTGTTGAACAAAAGAAAAGCTGTTAAACAACAGAACATACTCTCTAGAGGAAGTAGTACAAAATACAAAAGGAATAAAACTTTTAAGAAAGGTAGGTATCAAAAAAAAAAAAAAAAAACCCTGTATTTAGCAAGGCATGTGGCTCCTAAGACATAACTTTTAGGAGATACAACACGAAGTCTAGTGGCTAATACCCCAGACTTTAGGACACTGTGCGTCAGCAAGGGAGATGGTGCACGTGTGCATCCACGCATGTGTATATGTGTGTACACTCGTGTGTCTGTGTTTCCCCAGCTCCTGCTCCTCAGTGCAGTCTAAGGAAGGCTAGATGCCTCTGCTGGTCACTGAGGGTCTCCTCCCCTGGTCCTTTCCCCCGAAGGCAAGCCTTGAGAGGTCTGCCTTAGAGCTTGGAATAAAGTGGGCCCTGAAAAGCATTGAGTGGAGCTGAAGTCAGGGAGGAGGAGGCCTGACTGTGAGGATGAAGTTAAAGATATTTGTAGGTGATATAATGCACTTTAATGATCCCTCAGGTTAGCTGGTAGAAGTTTCCAAACCAGATTAACATTCTTCTTCTAAATCTGAACTCCTCCACTTGTAAAAAGAAAACTATACCCACTTGTCTTAACGGATTACTTAGCAGAGTGGAACTGTGAATCCTTGCAAAGCATTCAGTGCTGATAGCTCCCTGATAAATGTTGGCTCCCTTCCCTGGGAAAGATAATAGTGCTCAAGGGATTATAGTTTGGCATGGAAGGTATAAACAAGTTAGCCACTCAGGAGGAGATTATGAACTGTAATTAGAACATTTAAGCAAGAGTACTAAGGGTCTTTGAAAAGGTAGTAACATTAGTGCTGGAGACAAGGATTAGGGATGAGAGATATTTGTGAAGTAAATTCTAATTTGGTGATTCACTGGATGTGTTGATGATGAAGGCATCTAAAACTGTATTCGAATTTCTAGATAACAAGTAGATCAATGGTACTATCAGTAGAGAAGGTTTTAATCTATGAAGTTTGAATTGCCCATGTGATATTTAGCTGTATTACAGACGTTCAATAGTCAGAAACCATCTGGAAAAACTCAAGAGTTTGGAAACCAGATGGGATTCCAAAGGTTTGTAATAGTTATATGAAGACCACAGTAAACCAGCAGACATGCAGGAATCTCTTTACTACTGTGGTGGCAAACCATTGGCAAGTGTGCCATAGCAGGCTGTTTGTAGCACTGAGAGGTGTCCTGTCACTCTGGAAGGTGGTATCTCAGGGTTTTCTTTACAATATATAAAATATATGAAACAGTGAATGAGATGTATGCAAACACATATACTCTAAAGGTAACATCATTTATCCATTTTGTCAGATCCATTTTAAAGACAACTGCTGAATTGGACAATTGTTCCAATTAATGAATTGGAACATATTCCTGGTGAAACCGTTTAGGAAAGATCAATAAACAAGGAAGGCTGAAGGACACAGTCACATTTTACTTGGTACTGGATCGAGCCCATGGGTTTCAAATAGCAAATCAAAGACAGGTCATCCTTAATAATACACCAACATGGCAGGCTACCTAGGACAGAGTACTACGGAATGTTACTGAAAATCGGCTGAGAAAGCTACAAACTTGAAGTGTTTATAAATCCTCTGGACTTGACGGCTATATTTATGGCCACCCTTGGTGATGAACATGGTTTCCAGGTTCTCCCTTGTTCCCACAAACATGCTTTGAGAGCCTGAGCGAAGGCCTCAGTCTTGGGGGTAATGTAATACTGCCCTTGACACAGCCCACTGTTCCTGCTCAGGGTTTGGGGTCCTTGCTCTCAGCAGTCTACCCAAGGAAAAAGAAGGAGCAAAAGCCCAGAATGGCCCCAAGGCGTCCTTTTCATTTTGGATCAACAGCATTTATATTCCTGAGAGGAGCTTCAGGCCACGGTAAGAGCTGACAGTGAGGTGAGGATTGGGCTTGGGAAGCCCCTGTCCAGGGATTCTCCTCAACAGGCTTCTGAGTGAGCCCTGAAGCAGAGGGCCTCTGGGTGCCAGGTCCACCCTTTATACTTCTTTAGCATGAAAATCAAAGAAAGAGTAAAAATTTGATGACAACAAAATAATATATATCAGGTTTCTCAGTGAGGAAGATGATTTAAAAATCTCCCAGTTGGACAAAGTACCAAACATGGATGAAAACTATATTAGCATCAATTAATAAGACACAATTTCTAGGCACATTTTAAGCACTAGGAATTTTTCAGCTTATAAAATTTAGTTCAATACTCAATTAAAAGATGTTACATGAAATTTAAAAATCAGTCAAGCACATTGCCAAAAAGGTACACATGTGTACCTATGGAACAGTGTGAAAATACAAAGCAACCTGACTTGATCTGGCAGTTGACAAGCAGGATACATATATTTAAAAGCTGAAGCAATGACAATTTCTACATATACATGGTTTGGACTGTATGAGTCCAAAGTTCCCTGTGTAAGTCTACAATCTTGCAATAATCAAAGATAAAAAAATTCAAAAAACACAGCAGAAAGATAAAAAGTTACATAAGACAGTTAAATGAAAACTTATCAGAAGAAAGTGAATGTTTCAACCACTGTTCAATAATCCTGAATAATAACTGTACACAAATACATCTCTAAGCAAGTTGCACTTTTGTCCAGCAATATAATGAAATTTGAGAGTTAAATTTCAAAGTATACAGTCACTTAACATCTCAAAAGTTCACCTGATTGAGTAGGGAAAATTACACATGAATTTCCAATGTTTACCTGGAATTCTCTTTTACAGATAATTACAGGTGTAAGACACACACGCCTCTGTGTGTACACAGAATTTATAATGTGCATCATGGTACTTAACACCAAACTATGGTCATCATGCATTAAGTGCCATGAGAAAACTGAACCTGCTTAAAGCACTAGTTGCAGTATTTGATGTGGAAATGTTAAGTAGAAGTAATTTCAATTTCACAAGTCGAATATACACTTTTGTGTATAGGTCTTGTAGCCTTTCTGTATGATTCTTATTTGCTACTGGGAGAAAAAAAAATAGAAACAACTTTTCAATACCTACCAACAATACCGACAGAGGAAAATAAAAGTTAAACATTTACCGACAGATTAAGTGTGCTGTGATAATGCTAAAATTTCATTAACTGTATCTGAGGTACAAACCTTAGGTGAACAGAGCTGACCCTCCTCACACCACCTCCTGGGGAGGCGCTGGTTCCTATCTCCTAGGGCTGCTGGGAAGATGCAACAAGATTCACTATAAGCAAGAGCTTTGCAAACTACCTAATGGGTGACAGAAGTCAGTGAGAAAGGACACGTTTAAAATTACACAAAATGATTCTGAAGGAAGATAAAGTGGGCGGGAAAACAAATTTTCTGCGCACGAATATTCTGTCCTATGTACAAAGATAACAATTAAATTGTCCAGGTTGATTATTTTTAAATTAATTTTGTTTTTATAATGCTATAATAAATCCAAGTAAAAGTCAGATTAGTGGGAGAAATGGGACAATCCCCAAATAGAAAATTTATCTTAACTCTAAAATAAAAGAGCCTCAAAACTATAAGCCTGCCTGACATGTCGCATTGTTTACTATGTATCAAAGAGTCTTTGTCCAGGAGTAAAAATGATCTTTGGAGTCAGAAAGACATACCACTTACCAGCCACACCACCTCAAATAAGCTGGGCAATTTCAAGTTTCTGATCTGTCATGTTTCATGTGTAAAGAAACTGTGCAGACTGAATGTGAAACACACATGAACACACAGCAGGTGCTGAGCGCACAGGAGCTTTCTCTTCCTCCCTTTCATGGAACTGTCTTGAGCATCCAGAAAATAAGGAGACGAATGCACAGCTCATTTGTTCCTTTTCCAGTGTCTACTGACTGAGAAGTTCACACAGTAGTGTCTGTGATTATTAGTGATTTTTACTGAAATCTTCAGTGACTATATGATGTTCCTTGCATTTGTGTCTATTTACACAGTCAGATAACACTACTTAAGACCATGAACCTTTCCAGTGTCAACTCCCCAGGACCCTAGAGGGAGGCCTGTGAATAGATGTTGAGTTAATCTTCTACCAGAGGGTATTGGGGGGCTGGAGTAGGCAGAGAGGGTAAGGGAAGACGCTCACATCCATGACAGGGCACCAGAATTGCAGCTGTGCTACAAGTCTTTAGCTTGTATGCTGGAGAAATTCTACCACTACAGAACACACACACACACACAGACACACACAATTTACATGCCATTCAGAGGACTTCAGGGGATGGGAGGTAAAGGGCTTGTTAGCAGGATGCAGGCTCACATACCTGGATGAGATAGTGGGAACATAAATTGAGGAGCTCCAACAGCTGTAGGTGACTGCCAGCTGCTAACACATCCTGGATCACACCTGGCTCCAACAAAATCTGTTTTGTTTTTACAAAAAGAAAGCCATCAGCTACATTAAAAAATTAATACAGTACTGCTTAATGCACAAATATACCATATTTGTTTAAAATGTATCATGCATATGTGCTGAACTGATACCATTCTTGATTATGGAAATCAGGTTTTTTCAGATTAGTACATAGTGGGCTTCACCCTAACAGCTGAGTTCTCTCCTTTATGCATGGACCAATATTCATTTCTTATGTGTGAAACTGTGTACTAAAGACACATAATTTTTGCAGAAGAATTTGTGCCTCTTAAAATTCAGTTCGTGTCGTATTGTGCAAAATACAAAAGAACTAAGTTTTAGGTTTTCAAAGAATATTTCAGAATTTTGCTCTTTTGTAGATTATAGAAACAGGACCCTTCACAGGTTTTGTAGGAAAAGAAGTGTAATTCTCCTAGCCACGTGATCCTAGAGGAGGGCGACACGAGCACCACTGTTGTCATTAATTCACTCTTCCACTCTGTAACATTACATAGCTCCTTCCTCAAGCCTCCAAGTCTTCTGCCTTTCCATTTTCACCATAAACCTACCAAAACCCTGCCTGGATCTGTAACAGCACATTTTTCTTTCCCCATATTTCACATACGCTCTTGATTCTACCCCTTTCTGCCTGTGGCCTTGTTCTTGCTTCATTATATCTTGTCTTTCTACTAATTAATAGTTCCCATCCACACAAATACTGTACACTGTTACCACTTTTAGTTTGAGAAACAGAGACGCCCTCCTTTCATTCCACGGCATCTCTAGGCCGGTGGTGGCAAACGTTCGGCATGTGTGCTACAGTGGGCTGCTTGTATCCCTGAGAGCTCTAGAAGGTTTGCATCACCGCTCCAGGCCTCCACTTGCCCTTCATTACAAACCGGCTCTGGAACGGTATCTGTACATTCCGTGTACAATGGCCATTTGGTCAGCTCCGCTTTCTCTCGTGCCCATTCCTTTGATGTTCCTTTCACTGTTCCACAAAGAATGACTTACGGCTGCCTGGGGTGTGCCTGTGTTCAAATTCAATGGTCGCTTACTAGTTTCAATTTTCCTCTAGCCTCTAGAGTAGTTAATAAAGGAGACTGTGCTCCTTTTTAGGCTGATTGCTTCTTTTGCTTTTAGGATAACATTCTTTCCTGGCTTTCTTCTATTTCCCTGATCATTTCTTCCTCCCCAACTGCTGCTTTGGAGATGACCAGAGCTCAGTTCTCAAATCTCCTGTCCTCTCTCCACTCCGTGCAGGAGAGTCCCACGTGCTCTCCTGGCTAAGCCCCTTCTATACACCAAGGACGCTGGATTTTGATTCTGCTGCCCCAATATTATCTCTTGAATTTCAGCCTGTTGTGCTCAACTGCCTCCTCAGCATAGCTGCTCACACATCTAGCACGCAGCTCACAATGAGCAGCGCCAAACTGAAGTCCCAGTCCTTTCCACACTCGCCAAACAGGATCCTAGTCCAACTCTGCCGTCCCGGGAACAGCAGCCATCAACTGTTTGGGCCAGAGCCTCCCGGGGTTCCCGACTGTCTCCCCGTGGGCTGTCACACAGGCCCAGCAGCCCACCACTGCCCTCTGCTGTCATTAGCATTGCTCTAGTCCAAGGCCATCTGTTCTCACAGGTTTAACTACAGAAACCTCCTCCCTGGTGGCATTACTTCCCCCTTCGCCCTCTTGCACTATCTTTGAAAAGTACTACAAACCAAACTCAACTTTTCTGCCTGGATCAAACTTCCTCAAACTGTCAGCATGGTTCCCTCCTCATATCCTTCAGATTCTGTGCAGAAATAACCTTCTGTGAGAGGATTTTAGTCACCATCCCATGGGAACCTCATTCCCCAACAGCTACTGTTCTTTATTTAGTTCCTAACTTTGTTTCATAGCACTTAACCTCTCTGGGTGCATTACACATTTGTTTCTCTGTTCACTAGGATATGAGCTCCAGGACAGTAGTCATTTGGTCTTATTTTGAACCCCCAGCATTTAAAACAATGCCTGGCACACAGCTACTACTCACATTGATGGACTTCCTTAATTAAAAGTTCTGATAATTAAGTGATCTGTGCACAAATGCTGAATTCATAATGAATTTTGTTAAGCTAACATAAATGGTAAAGGAAAAAAACCCTACGAATTTAATGAAACAAATGAAAAAGTTAGGCACAGCTGGCAAAAATACTAACAAGCATCTTATTTTGAAAATTCTGCATAGCTCTTTTCCATGTAGTCAGGAGGAGAAGCTGGGATTCCTCTTGCTCCTCAAGAAGGGAAGCTTCGACTGACATTCAGGAATGAATGCCGCTCCCAGAGGAGCAAGGGTGGTGTACAGTGCTGAAAAGGGGGCACGGCCTAAGGCGGAAACAGGGACTAGATGGCTTAGAAAGGCTGGTCCGAACTTTAAATCCCGTCAGCTGTGCTCCTTTCACACGACTGGCGTTCACGGTAACCTCTAAGGCTCAGTGACGCCAAAGAGACACAAAGAGAAGCATCACAGAGAGACAAGATGAATATTCCACAGCATGTGTCACACACATCCAACTGGCTCGCTGTGAGAAACCCTCACACAGCAAAGCCATACTGCACTGTTCTTGTTCTTATTTTTGCTCTATAGTTTGTCTTTGTTATGTTTCTTTTTTAAAAAAGCACACATTAGCACAGAAAATCCGTAAGAGCTTTTAGAGGTTTGCAGAAAGAAACTCAACCAGAACAGCTGCTTCTCATGGAAACAGAATCAACATTTGCAAACCTCACTTGTAGCAGTGTTTTAAATTCAGCTCTATTGCTCTTTAGTGACTGGTTTTTCTAGTTTACATTCTCAGAGAATCTGCACTTGAGCAGTAATAAAGACAAAGATTCAATCTGCAGATTTAGTTGGTCAACTGGGGACGACCTGCAGGAAGGGAGGGCTGTCCCCTGAAAGCTGACGGAGGGGGAGCTAACAGGAGTCACTTGGCACTCCAATCACTCAGCAGTCTGAAACAGCTTACTGCAGGAGCACAACTAGTGGTCAAGATAAAGAGGAAGAAAATGCAAGATGCAAAAGACCAGGTAGCCTAGAATGCAGTGTGAAAGGTAAAAGCCTCAGAAAAGTCAAAGTTCAGTGGGCTGGGCAAGTCTCTTTTTTCAGTGATGCTCACCTGCTTGGATAAAGGCAGATCTGGGACCTCTCAACTGCAAACAAATTTTCATGCAACAAAGAACAAGTTTAGATGGAGAGTGAATCTCTCTTGTCTACAGGGCCATTTTTATAGAGCATTTTTCTGTCCATGATCCATCTGCAACTGACTTCCAGGTGGCAGAAGCAGGGTGTGTGCTTGAAAAAGGACATTTCATATCAAGGAAGTGATACTCTCATTATTTGGGTCAGGCCCAGTAACCTTTCTGGTACCTCTGGTGAGTAAGATTACATGAACTGAGAGAGGTCTTTAGCTGACCTCACCCCAAATATGCTCATTTTGATCAAGAGGGGTTAGAATTGGCCAGGGACTGTGGTTATGGTGATTCTAGGCAACATAACAAAGTAACAGATTATCTACCCAAAAGTGCAACACCAGGTGGAATTCAGTATACTGATGCTCCAACTACAGAGGTACTCTTCAGAGCTCATCTAAACATGATCTCTGCTCATCAATTCAGGAAGAGTTGGAAGTAGACAGCTGAATTTGCATAGTCTCTAACCAAAAACCCTCTAAACTAGAAAAAAAAAAAATACTGGATCTTGGTCCCACAATATCTGTAGGCACTATATGGGGCCAGAAACTTGTGAGAGAGAAGTGTGAGACCTGGGGTGAGATTCTGCAGATAGTGTAATCTGAACCCTGGGTTAGGTTCTGGGAGGGTAGAACGGTGTCTGACAGGCAGAAGCACGGACCACAGACAGACGCCACAGCATCCATGCGTACCACCCCTTCTGCAGCTCATCTTCCCACATCACCAGGTGCTGGACTGGCTGCTGGTGGAGCTGTGTCATTAATAGTCAGGACAAGTCTTATTGTGACCTTTTTTTTTTTTCAGCTGTGAAGAGTTTGTATCTTCAGAAAATGTTGTGTCTTCAAAGCTGTCTTCCTTATTGCTTGCTTTAGGAAACTTTTGACTTGCTTAAGATTTGAACACAATAATACATTCCTGCCAACTTGAGCCACCAAAGATACATACATGATGTGTACCCATACATTCCACTAGCAGTACAAAAGGATTTAATCACCACTATTGGTCTTTTTAATAATAAAATTAATATAAAGCCACCCAAGGGGACAGTCATGCTTGTGGCACCAGGAGATCAAGTGGCCAGGCAGTGAGACATATGAGCTGTGGTCCCACTGTGTATGTGTTAAGGCTGGACAACTAAGTTCACTTTACTATGTGTATGTATACGCATGAACATAATCATGTGTAAGCACAGGCTGTCACGCAAATGAAAATTAGATGTGGTTTAATACCAAGTATAAAGATAAGCACATTCCCCCTTTTATGCTGGAATTATTTCTTAGGAATTAATACACTTTTCATACACTTTAGCAAAATGGCAAATTATCAATTATCACAATTTTGAATTTGTAAGTCATGTAATTGAAGTTTTAGAAGTATAAATAGCTTTAAAGATATTCAGGGAGGAGAAACCACAGCAGAGCCCGGCCCACAACCCACACCCTAGCAAGCCCCGAGGATGCTGCATCCCAGCCCACAGCAACAGCAGCTATCCGCCATGCTGCTCTAGCATGCAAGGATGCCTGGAACTTGGAGAAGCTCTTCAGCATCCCCAAGATGCTACCACGGTCCTGGGGTCACGAGGCGGCAAAGCACAGCAAGCAGATGCTACAAAACACTGGTGTGAATTTGAGCTCTGCTTCACCTCAGTAGAGAAACGAGCAACCCAGAGCTGGGCATGATGGTGCACATCTGGAATCCCAGCACTTGGGAAGCAGAGGCTGAGGCCAGCCTAGGATACATAGCAAGTTCAAGGTAATCTGAACTACATAAGCAAGACTGTCTC